AGAAATGTGTGTGTAAATGCAGTTTCACACAGCGCCACTAATCATTCATCCATCATACAAGTTTTTTAAGGTGTAAACATGGAGCCTGACCCAATAAACAAATGATCTAGTCAGACCTAGAGTTTACATTTTCTCACCTCTGGACCACCAGTCTCTGCTGGCAAGCCCATAGTGACAAAGAAAATAGTCTAATCTTCCATTATAACTTCTTCTATACCAGACAGTGCAAGTCAGTGAGACAATGGCGTCTAACGGGAGATGTTCAGTCAAGCTTCATAAGTGCATAAAGGGAAAGAAAGCTGAGAGGGATTTCTAGAGTTTCAAAACTGACGCCTTGGCTTATTGTTTCAGTGTAAAGGTGAAACCAGGGAGTTTAACAGCAAACCATGAAGTAATGTCACAGGGACATGATTTATCTGACACCATCCTTTTGGGAAATCACACACACATACATCTCATTCTCTTTTTCTTTCTCTCAGGCTCTTTCTGTTAATCATAAACATTCACCTCAGCCTAACCTGGACATCAGCTAGTTGTAACTTTATCACGTCTTTGTTACAGTTCTGAAAGTGTTTCAGAGGTGAAGCTGTCTGTTTTTCAGAAGACGCATTTCAGAATACCTTGTATCCTTGTATATAAATATATAAATACACGTTAAATGAAAGTAAAAAATTATTTAGGGCTGCCCCTATGGTCAAAACATCATATTGCGATTATTTTGACAGATATTGCGATATGATTTGCGATTTGTGTGAATGATAATTTTTGCATCACAAATTCAATTTTTACTAAAAATATATTACAATAATAATATTGTGACGTTTTTTGGGGTCTGTAGCAAACAAACATGTTTTCTTAAATCTGGAGAACAAGATTTGTAGACTGGGCATCTTTTCACAACTACAATATTTCATTATAGTGGTGTTTGTCACACATTTTACCTTCATCAAACAAATGGCCATTTTGCGATTTCAACAATATTTTGATCAATTGTGCGACCCTACTCATTTACAATGATGTCGAGTAACATGGCCGGATACTGATTAAATAGAAATGTTTAAATTTTTGTTTTTTAAAAAAGAAGTTCATAACCTGTAGTTTTTAAACATCTGAGAAAGATTAAGATGTAGTGAGCAAAGATGATGATTTAATATTCTATAGTTATTGTTAACAAACAGTTCTGACTCAAACATTCATGTATTTTTTCTAGTAAAGTTCTTCACAAACATACTTTGGCTTTCATAAAACATAAAACCTATCATCCGCATAAGAATTAAAAATAAATTATTATTAATATTAACTGATAATTATTTGACTTAATTATCCTGATATAAATTTCCCATTATTAATAATAATTGTTGATAATATGCGTCCCGATAATTGTCGTTCCTCTCTAATTATTAATTAATCAATATATATATATTAGAAATTAGATACAAGATAAAAGAAAACAAGTAAATAAAACAATATAAAAAAAAGTTAAGGTAAAACAAGTGCAAACAGAGTTTGAATAATTTTCAATCAAGGATTTAAATTCACCAAGGGGTACAAGATTATTGATCCTTAGGGTGCTTTGTGAGGAATTCGATTGGAGCATAAAAACAAAAAGCAGATCTTCCAAACTCGGTACTAATTGGAGGAACTTGCAGGGAAAGCTGGTCATTAGATTGTGTTTGATAATGTCCAGAGGAGCATTTTAGCATGGAAGAGATTTCTAATGTGTGAAATGTTTATCTATAAAGATAAACAAATACATATGCTTATCTCTGACCACCCAACCTTTTTTTTTTAGGATGCAACAGTGAGTGCTAGGCAGGGCAGAAGGATAAACAGCATCCACATCTCCTATCCATAACAGAGAGAAACATCTTCAAGATGATCTGACTTATATTATAGATTACATTTATAATCAAATATTAATTTCATGTCATGCTAGAATGATGCTATAATCGTTTCCAGTAGATACTAGGGGTAACACATCGTAAAAGTGAACAGGGGAAATCCCTTCCATATAAATACAAAGTGTCTTTCTTTCTGTGTATCTGCCCAAATGAGGGAATTGTCAGTATTTTCTTATTCCCAAAATAAATAAAAGAGAATAGAGAAGACCAACGTGAGTTTATGAGTGGTAGGGACCACCCGTAAGTTTCTCACCACAAACCCTACTGTGGTTTTAGGTTTTGGCTTCTAGACCAGTAGCTAAAACTAAACCGTAATTTGGAAAATACCAAATATAAAACGTAATACTAAACTTATTTTCAAAATGTTTTATCATGTTTGCGAAGTTGCAGTTTTTCACCCAGGCACCCTTAAAAGTATATTTTGACCGCTTGTATCTGCAATGCCATTCTTTCAATGAATACCCAGAACTCTCGCTATTGAGAGGTGACATTAAACATAATGATTACCAGTAGACCTTTACGGGACTTCTGGGGAAGTTGACTGTCACACACACTTACACAGCCACAATATCTCTCTCTGTCTCTCTGATGCCAAAAGCTGATTTTTTTTTTCTTCCCCATAATTGTTTACTATATATATATATATATATATATGCACACATTAATTGTAAAAATTGACTTCTTATGAGCAGAGACTCAATATTAAAAGCTTCAGGTCAATGGAAAACATAAAAGGGACATTCCTGCTAATAACCAAATGTGAGGGTAATTAGCCCCTGCAGAGTGTGTTATTTTAACAGCCTATGATAGATGCTGTACTGCACACTGAAACACTGCAAACAGACAATACACAGCATATAACATGCTGAATCGCATCGGCCTTGGTTTAAGTTATTACAGAGATATGGAAAAACTAATGCAATGCTATAATAGCTGCATTTCTGTAATTTGATTTGCATTTTGAAGTATTGCATTACAAAAATTTGTTGGAAATGGCAAGTTTAAAAAAAAAAAAAAAAAAACTTTCGCAGAAACATTGTGCACACAACTAATTTATCATGACTGATAGACCCATTAGCCACATTTCTGAAGAACAAAACTATATTTAAAAATTATTGTACCAAATCAGTTCATTTCTAATCTGTGCAAAGTTGTGAACTGTAGAGAGTTCAGTGAGTGTCAGGGTAAAATGTGGCACCCTCTACGTGTTTGCTTGTGGCTCATCACTTAGCTCCAGGTGAGAATAATGGCATTGTTGCTAAGCCTCTCTCTGTGTGTCACAGTCTCTGTCAGCTGAATAATGCTATTATCACTAAGCTGTTCTTTCACTGCTCTTTCAACATGACCCAAACACCCAGCTGTTTCACCCTATGACATTAGCATACACTGTGTGTGTGGGTGGGGTAGGGGGGTCATCTCCATCAGGTTAACCAGGGTTCGTGGTGGGGTCATTTGAAATGTTCCTGTTCACAGTCAACACTCATCATGTAGCAGCAGAAGCCCCTCCCTCCTCCCTTCTTCTCTCAGCATCTCTCACTCTGTCTTCCCTCTGCATCACAAGCCCTTTTTTACACAGAGATCCTACAATACTGCTGTAAAGACAGGAGGCGTGATGTGTAACACAACGGCGTTGGTGTCTGGTGTGACGACTGTATGTGCCTTATGCCTGCTCCCCCATTTTGCACAGACGTCGATTCGGCTCTGTTAGGGCCGACCAAATTAGGCGCTGCAGTGAAATCACCAGTCCTCTTATTCATCTTGAATGGGGGTAGTCGTTTAAGCTGTGGTAGGGGTGAAAAAAAATGCAACAACCTGCTGCAGAGAACAGAATAAACCTTTTTAGAAACGTAACCCGACGTCACACTACAGTGGCCAATTCAGTGAGAGACCAGTCAAACTGCTTCACAATCGGTAAAGTATTGTTGAAACCAGGTACTAACCAGGCAGAGTTCATGGAACAAACAATGATACAGTACTGCAATGTACAGTGTAGCATATCTATATTTACATGTACACATGAACATCTTTTTGTCTCTCTGTCGGCCCTCTGTCAAGTCTAAAATAGTGTATCCTCCCCCTAAAATTTTGGTTTACCCAAACGGCATCCAGTTTGCATAAATTAAACCGGCTTGGTGTTTCAGTGTATTGTTTTCATGTTTAAAAACTTGCTGTCAGAGTGATGAGTCTGTCTGTAGATAAGCTATCTAGTGTCAACTGCGCTCATCAATTTCCAGCCTAACACAGACTAGATAGCAGTCCAGTGCTGACTGACAGCTGATCCTAACAGATAGTAAACAAGACTAGGCTAAAACCAATGGGGGACAATCAACCAACCAATAGTGTAACTAAATCACTTACTCAGTAAGTCAGGGACGGGCTGCTTTGCTGCAGTCCAACAATGGTCAAACCCCTCAGTTCTTCAGTCATTTGCCTCTTCAAAACCTTCCCCCTTCAAACTCTGACCCTCTACAAGCCTTAGTCTTCCTCTGTTTCTCTCTGAGGTTCTTTCTGAAGTTCTCGGAGGTGAAACTGTTGCATATCTGAGTGGTGTACATGTCTGTGTGTTTTGTAGCTCCTGGACCTGTTCATGGTGTGGGACTGGTCCACTTACCTGGCAGACTATGGCCAGCCAACTTCCAAATACCTGAGAGTGAACCCAGCTACTGCCCTGGCTCTACTGGAGAAGTGAGTGCATCTGATGGTTAAATGCTTCTCTTTAAAGGCCAAGTAGCATTGACAGTTCACCTTTGTGCAGGGGTGAGACTTAGAATGTGGGTGTGCTGCTAGAGCATGTAAAGAGCCACAAAGAAACAAATAGACCAAAATGTCTTTGTCCTAAGATAAAAATAAAAATATAATTACTTCAACAACAAGTTTCCAGAAAATTTGTAAAAGAAAATGCTAATGTGAGGACTACACTTTGTATCATATTTTTTTTGATACACCAACTTGTTTTTGATATTTAGACTTTTTTAAGAATTTACACTTTTACTTTTTTATTTTATCAATTTGAAACTGAAAATGGTGGAGTGATGAGGAGTTATGAATATGATTGTGATAAACTACAGAAAACATGCCAAAGTCTGCCACCCCAGGTATTCTTCTAAAATGTTAGTTATCAACCCATATTCTTAAGTCTTTTATAAACATTTTCAAATTTTCTTTCACATTATTGTCATTTTATTACATTAATTCTTGCATAGAGCATATAACGTCCTTCTGTATTAGTTTGGCTGCTTTGTCTGTTTTCCTCCTCTGCGTGTGTTTTGGTTATACTCTTCTGTTCTGTTTTCCTGCTGCTGCTCAGAGTCTACAGAGGGTAGGTGCAGATTCCTCAGTCCTTTTCTTTGGTCTTCTCCATGTACCCTCTGATATATGCAAAACCATTTATTCTACCTACTGTAAACTAGAATGACTTAAGGCGTAATATTTTTTTAAATAAATTCCATTATTGTATATGTGAAGGTTAAATGTCTGCACCCAAATACACACACTAAACATCTGTTTGATTTTTAGTGACTTCCTGCTTGAACCTTGAACCTGTCTTATCCATAGTTTACAGGATAATTTTAACAATAAATAGTGTAAGTTATATAGAATAGAAAAAGAAAAAATATGTAATAATGTCTAAGAATTTCCAACCTCCTACTATCCTAATTATAACTTAACCCACTCTCTCTGTTTCATTTGTTACAACAACTGTTTACTCAAATGTAAATTTGTAAGATCTTCTTTTAAAATCATTGAGACATATTCATAGTAAAAATCCAATAATTATTATAAAAGCTGCAGTAGGTAACTTATCAAAATAACTTTTTGTCATATTTGCTGAAACTTATATCCTGACAGTAGTAAATGAGACAGATAACCTGTGAATTGATCTGGTTCCTCTGGCTCCTCCTAGTGCTCCTAATGGTGTTTGCAAGAATCTACCGGGCCTGGACCAAAACAACCATTTAGAGCCTAGAAGGACAAAAAGACACTTTGGATGGGTGGCTTAAAGATCATTGATTGTTGAGTTTCATTCCCAGCGTCGATATTTGGCAACCTGGAAATGAGACTCAACAATCAACTATCAACTATCAACTATCTTTCTTGGCTCTGATTGGTTGTTTTTGTCCAGGCCAAGGGGATTCTTGCAAATGCCATTAGGAGCACTACAACAGCCCAGAAGAACCTGATTTTTCACAGATTATCTGTCTCATGTACTACTGTCAGGAACACAGTATAAATTTCAGCAAATATAACAAAGT